AGGCTCGACGTAGTGCCCCGCCTGTGTCGATTGAGGACCGATCGTTGTTGGCCCGCTTGTGATTGTGACTTGTAGTACAGGCCACATACTCCGGTAAGCCTAACACCCTGGCTATTCCATTATGTGAAAGGCCAACCGCACACTGGGAGTGGAGAGATGGCAAGAGTAGCGTGTACACATCCTATGAATCCACCAGGAGTGGCGCAAGGAGGTGGAGTACTATGCTCTCGTGTAGCGCTGGACATGTTCATGTTTTGGAGGATCTGAGTGAGGGTTAATATATGTAGGTTCAGGACCGGTCCTAGACCTGCATATGTCATGTGGTAAGGAAACCCCAGCTGGGCCAAATCGATATAAATCGCCGTTTGCTCCATGGTAACAGGAGACACGATCAATTGTCCTGCATCGTAGTTAATCAATGGAACATGGTTACTTGTGGATAAGAGATGAACTTGAGATGAGATGATTAATGAAGTGATTGAGCTAGATCAGGTCTGAACTGGATACTACTAATGACTTAATACAAAGCTAAAACGTTGAAAGTAAGGATCCACTCATAGTAAGCTTTTCTGCAAAAGTTACTTCTTGCTTCTACCTTACCTTTCGCATACCCTTGGAGTCATTTCTTTTAGTCGGGTAAGACTTGTTGAGTACCCTCAAGTACTCAGGGTTTGTTAACCCCTGTTGCAGGATCTGACTTGAGCTGCTAATTGAGGTCATGTTGGTGGGCTCAACATGATATGTCCATCTCTTCTACCTTAGATGCTTTACTTAAGTCGCTTCTACAATTCTACTCACCATTTGGAACGTAGTTAAGTTTATACTTAATCATGTTTTGTAAACTAATGTTATAAGTCTTCCGCACTTTGATGTAAGTTATTTTTATACCAAGTGTTGTAATGTTGTGGTAACTCCATGTTGATCCTGTATGAGTTATAAAATGTGGATGATTCAGGGTTCCCCGAGGACACCCGACAGACTACCGAAGTTATCTGGCTCTCGTGTAGAGCTGTTAGAGGTCTTTAGGACAATAACATGTGCACGTGGGCCATATAATTTGGGTGGTTCTGCCATAGCTGATATCAGAGCTCATACATGGATCCGCTACAACATTACTTTTGAAAACTTCAAAAGGAACTTACAAATTAAAAGTTTTTGAAGAGTAACAAATTGAAAGTAATCCTTAACCTCCCTTATGCTTGTTGTCGAAGCCTCATGAAGACTTTCTGGTGACTCAATTAGAAGACGTCGAAAAGAATTCAAATCATCTTCAACAAGCCAAGTAAAGAGTCGAACTTCTCCGACAATGCTCTACTGAGTGTCTTGCAACATCCCGTCTGGTGCAGTGAAGATAGTGTATAAACTAAAGCCCTATATAAGTAAGTTATATTCTGACTAACATTGTGAAGACGTATAGGATGAGCATGCATCATATCATCCATATAAGGTTAAAATATAAGGATGTTGAAATTTCCTCCTTTAGTTCCAGGATAGCTATTCTGCCTTATAGCTGTTCTATTTCAATTTAATCTCGTCATGAACCAGGTTTTTGCTAAATTAACCACCTTTCGACAATCTTGCTCCATAAGCTTCTAATCCTTGGGAACTTCTAGATGCACATAATTTATCCCGACAAAGGTCAGGAGTTCCGACCCAAGTAGGGACTTCTGATAGACCTAACAAAAAACCATGTTCATATCTGGCCTTTTGGATTCCGATCTGAACTATTCTAAACTCATAGGAAACTTGGAAAATAAGGCTTGGAGAGGTTTTCTACTAGGATAAGACCACCCTCTTTATATATATGAGAGGATCATGGCCGATTGAGTTCCCATCTATCCAATCGTCAAACAAATCAATCTACTACCTCTACTCCAACCCTTTTACCCTCTTCTCCTACCCCCATGTTGTTCATCCCTTGATCCGATGACCAAGGATGGTGCCCTAGGCTTGTTGGCTAACCTAGGTTAACTCGATGATGTCCTTGCCCTAACGGGGTCTCACCCGGGTGAAAGCTTCGACAATTTCTTTGCTAGTTTGCCTAAAAACTAGCCGGTTCTTCATCATGTAAGCACGTAGGTTATCCTTTGGTGGTTTGCTTGTAAACCTCTATATTCTTCACCACGAAAGAGTGACATCCTCACTGTGTTCTTCGGTCCGTAGCGGCCTCAGCGTCTAAGGCCCTGTTGGTGGTTGATTCGGATCACTTCCGACGTCAACACTTGGCTAGATCTATAGTTTTAATTCTGCATTTATCTCGGTTAGCTGACATGATTATTTTTATAAAGGACTATTCAACCCCCCCTCTAGTCCGCCATCTCGACCCTACAATAGAGTACCACCTTCTGCACCTAGCCGCACTGGAAATCATCAGCCTCCACGGAAGAGAATACCGCCCTCCGGAGCTAGCAAGCAGCCATCCATGGAGGAAATGGTCGACCATGGTAACCGTGCACTCAGGTGTAAATGAGACGCTTGTCGACAATGCCGCAGGGATGAATACACAAGGATAACATGATGTAACTTGTAGGAAATAATACAAATAATGAGAGCATTCTAGGTTGCTTAATAATTTTGCTCGAGTTCATGCATATGATCTAGGAAAGATCCTGTTCTGAACTCGAATGTCACCTTTGCTTTAAAGATGAAGTGGCCTACAATGCCCTCCAAACAACCTCTGCTTTCACCTTGTGTTGGAATTGTCCATAATTAGTTAGGTGACTAAAAAACATCATTGGTACCCACTTGCATCCTTACAGTTAAAAAGATCAGCACAGCTGTACAGCTAAAAGCAATTTTTTTTTGAAATAATGACAGGAGCTCTACCTCTCAATTAAGACGAAAGAATTTTTGTACAAGAAAAGGTAACCAAACGAGATTCCTACCATAGGACACCAAAAAGGCTAACCCACCCATGCTACACGAGCACAGACACTGTCATGAGTCATCATTGCCGAGCATGGTTCCATAGCATCCAGCGGCTCCGACTTCCCATGGTAGACCACGCATGACCCACCCTCCGACAGGCCTAAAGCAAGAGGCCGCTATATATAGGTCATCATTGCCAACCTCAAGCACGTCGTGTAGAGCAGCTCCGACTTCCTATCGCGATCCCACACCTCGCCCCTAGTGGTTGCAGACCTCCCGAGCAGAACCCCAATCTTTGAAGAAGGGGGGATCGCCTCATGTCATCATCGCCGAGCCATGTCCCCAACGCAGCAGCTCTGACACCATGCTGCAAGACCCTTCTCCACATGTCAACCAGGTACTGAGAAATGGAGAGCAGCCACCGAGGGTGACATCAAAGCTGCGACGAATTTCCAACAGTGAAGCCTTCAAGAAGCGCGCGACGCCGATGGCTCCACTGTCGTTCGTCCAAGAAATAGACCAGGTTTTCACCCTTGGAAGACTATGCTAGAGAGGGACACGACGCCCCAATAGGGAAAGCAGCACCCACAGGGGCGTCAACGTCACCAAGGCTTTCGTCCAAGGAGCCCCCTAGCACAAACGTTGGACCAAGATGCTAGACCCCTAGCCTACCACCACCGTTGTTGTCAGTGTCGTGCCGCTCCACAAAAGACCCTTCATAGGGGAGCAATCAAAGTCTTCACAATGCCTGCCTGATCCTGTGATAAACACTGAAGTCCATAGAGTGATAGAGGGAAGCAGCCCACCAGGCCACCATGGCCCAACGCGCCAGCCTCAACCCTGAGCCCTCAAGTCCCCGACCCCAAGACCCTGACTCCTCACTCGCTCGGTCGCTCCTCACCCCCGCGCGACCGTGCCCCCATGGAAACCTAACCCTAGTTGGGTGAGTGCAGCGGCGGCACGAGCGTGAGCAGGCATGGCTGCGTGACCCGCGAGAGGCTATGGGCGTGGTGAGGCCGGGCCGCGATGACATGACTACAGCATAGGGATGTGGCACCGGCGCGGAGCGGCTGCAGCACGGGGAGGCAATGGCGACCAGCGAGCGCAGGGAGCCGTCACACGAGGCATAAGCGGCGCAACGCAAGGAGCCGGCATTGCAACTCACGAGTAGGGAGGACGGATGGTGTTTTCATTTTTTTTTCTTGCTGTACTACACTCCGGTTTGTTCGGTTTTAACCGAAAAAACAAAGTAAGAAACCGAAACTGAAGTTGTCGGTTTCCAGTTCAGAAATAAACTGACCAGCTCTTGCTCCTAGAAAACCATTTTTTTAAACTGAAAAAACCAAACCGATGTTGCAGTTTAAACCAAATGCCTAGCCTGAGACATCGACGCCGCACAGCTGCGTCGGCCACCACCCCCTCTGACCGGGCAACACACGAGTCGGACCTTATCTCCCGCACACATAACACCGCCGCACGCTGAAAGCCGTTGCCAGCTACTGTCGCCGACTCTGGCACCCGCTGTTGTTAGGCACGTGCCCCACCACCGCGGGTGCCACCCCTTGCCCTGGGGGCGTCAGATCCGGCCGCCAGAGCACTGGTCCCAGCACCCCTGGCCAGCGTCGCCACCTCCCCATAGCCGTGGAGGAAGGGACAAGCGAAGGAGGAGCCCCACGGCCACCCCCTTGCGCCTGCACGGGCTTGCCCGGTGCCGCTGCAACTGCGGCAGTCGCCCCCACCGAGCTCCACGTAGCTCGCACGGGAGGACCCACCGGCCCACTATCGCCAACACCGCCAAACGTGAGGCAGAGCCCCACCCATTTCGGCACTCCATATGGCCATGCCGACGACCTACTCCGGTGGCGGCGCAACAGGAGAGGTGGAGAGAAGGGGGCGGCAGCTAGGGTTTTGGGGTGCCGCCTATGTCGCCGATGGGGAGTGACGCGGGGGCAGGGGCTCGGTGAGGTAGTGACTGACAAGGCCACTAAATGCGAAAATTAAACTAACATTACCTACATAACTTCAATGCCTATAATATTGCAACATTTTTTCAAAAAATCGTATGCATTGGATTTATATAGTGAATGCAGTTCTAATTTCACATCTAGCAACGCAATTCCACACACAAAAGATTAGCAGCCACACGGCCCCTCCAAACGCAAGTAGTCGTACATCAATCCTTGAAACGGGTTCTGGCTCCTGGGCTGCTTCAGGTAGATGGTGTTCACCCCTTGCACAAGCCAAGCACTAGCCACATCGATGTTGAACAGCCAGTACAGCCCATGTATCCCGTGCCTTGCTATCGCGTTGTCCCTGCCGATCAGCCCGGTGGCGAAGTGAGGAAGAGCCTTGTCCTGATCGTTGAAGAAAATCTGAGCAAGAAGATTCATCATGCAGGAGTGTTTCAGTGATGACATCTGACGAAAGAAGACTGGAATGCAGATAGGAAATAAAGAGCAAAGTCTTCTTTCTGAAATAACCTGCAGCTCAGCGAGTGCAGAAGACGCGAGAGCCACTCTGAACTTGTAGGTGCTGCTTGGACTGACACTGTCAAGGTTGAACTTTATTTGCCATGTTGTTGGCTGGTAAGTGTTGTCATCAAGTTTTCTGATGTGGAGACAGCCACATATGTTAGTTCTAGGCAGAAGCAATAATTCATATCTATGTTTGTTTTCACAAAAGAAACAGGAAACATCACCTGTTAACTTGAGCATAGAACCAATCGGTGCTATAGTCACTTTGGCCAACTGTGTATACCAGGTCACTGTTAGGGTATAGTTCCGCATATCGTTCCCAAAGTCCATATTGTCTAAATCTGCAATGGCCAACCAAGAACACAATATGATAAGAAATGATGACTTGATGCTTAACAACATAAGTCAGCATGTAGCTTTACAGTTTCAGTTTACCTATCTGCAGGATGGTTGATGTACAATCTATTGACATAGTTGGAGTTAGGATCAGGAACATAAAACTCAGCGGCAGATCGATCAGGTACTCCAATCTCCCACATCGTCGGCCCATCTCTTGGCGGTTCATACACAAGGTCACCCAAATAAATATCATCCCCTGCATATCCATATCGAATATCTCAGGAAAAAACTAAAAGCTGCAAGAGGAATGCATACAGCTAACTGAAGATGCTTACCTGAAGCTATGGTCAGTGTAGCATCTAATCTGTAGTCCCCTATAAAACCCGGAACCCACGCATACAGGTTGTAGTTCCCAGTTACAATGTTCCTTATGTAGAAGCTCCCATCTACATCTGCTCTACACCAGAATTGGTATCCCTGAGGCATTGCAGTATGTGAGAATAAAGTTTTTTATTCTAATAGTACAATGCAACTCATTCTGTGAACATAAACTGGGAATGATGTACATGGCATGCTGATTTACCTTGCACTCTCTTTGCCAGGATCCAGCTTCTCCTGGTAGCGCCAAGCCTACATAGGCTCCTGAGGCATAAAGGTCTTGATCATCTATATACCTAAATGACATCATGGTTAAGTCAGAAAAGTCTATGGTTTTATCTATATACCAGGGTAATGTAAAAATTCCTAAACTTGTTGCTGAGAAGACTGGAAAGTGGTAGTCCTTGAATATACCTGTCTCGGACTAGTAATCTACCAGAGACGCAACCCCTTTGCTCTGTCTTCTGAAAGTCCTCTGAAAGTGCAAAACAGTATGGCCAGTTTTCTTTCTCAATCATCATCTGATTACACAAGGCAAAACATAAAGAAAACAAAAGTGACTTCCACAGTTTGGTAATACTCATAACATGCAGAATAGATAACTAGGCAGCACTGCAGTAGTTACTCCTTTGTAATTGAGAATCTTAGAGTTTTCCCACCCAGTACATTACGAATGTCCCTATTCTGAATTTCTGAGTGAAAATAAACATGTACTATCCTCAAGCACTTATGTGTCTGAAATATTATCACCTGAACTTTTGCATCTTCCCATAGCATAGTTGGGTCACTTCCATCCCAACTGGAATTAAGATACATGAATACCGGTCCATGGACCTTTTTCCAGTATTCTCCATTCGTAAACTTTGGTGAGAGGTCATCCCCCGCATAATGTGCACTAAGAAACATCTGCAATCATATGAAGGAAAACATTCAGAAGAATAAATGTCATATCATCGAATGATCTGAACGCTGGTTCAGATTCCAGACTCTGGATTCCAGATCATGATGATGATTGAACTTACAGCCAGCATAGTGGGGCCAACATGAGAAGTCAAATTTTGCTTCAGGGGTCCTCCTGTCCTGAACTCATCACTTGGAGTGATCTGCCAGAAGCCAATTGGAGGATCGAATGACATCCACCCATGGACATTGTTGTACTGGTCTTCGCAAGAGTACTGGTACTTGTCGTCAACCTTGACAAACATTATCAGCGACGTTCAGATTCAGAATGCAGTCAGATACTTACCATGGATAACCAGCATGTATCATCTTTATCTCTGTCAGACCATCTTACCTCCCCTCTGAGATCAGGATTTATTGGGTCCACAAGGAGCACAGCCTCAGGGTATGCTAATGGCTGGCCTCGGGGAGGCAATCGGTCGTCGGGCATTGGCATAATTCTCTGCCTGTCATCAGCCAATGCCATGTAATGAAACCTGCAATACATAGATGGCTTCAATGGTTAGCAACATTCAGACATTCAGTGAACAAGAAGAAAAATCAGTAAATAGGCCACTTGTCTTTCCGCAGCTTGAAAGCCACCCTTGTCTCTCCCAAGCCGAAATCAGGCCATCCTTCCTTATGCTCATAGATTCCATAGGTGTAGAACCCGGATGAACCACGGAGAACGATGAACCTGCACAGAAACACTTGCCCTGTTGAACATGCCTCGTGAAATGAACTGGTGAGATAGCCGAATTGCTGTACTTGTGCATTGGTCACCTCTTATCGATGTTCAAGGGGACAGCTTTTCCTTCAAGGGAAGGATCCCAATTTCTGGTGAAGGATACCTCAGCCTGGTTTTCATCTTGGTATATGATGCGGAATTCGGTGCCTTTGATCCTGCATGAGAGTGCTCCATTTCAGATTCATTTGGAATTTTTATTTCTGAATCAGAAGCAAAATGCATTCATAGGGAGGCAGTAGCCAAGTTTGAACTTTGAATCAAGAGAGTTCTTACACATCAAAGATGCCAGTTTTCTGTCCTGGTGGGTTCCAAACAAGGTCCCAGTACCTGACACAACATGCAGCAATTTGTCAGCTCCGTCACTACATCAATTTGTCAGCTCCGTCACAACATCAATTTTGCATTTTTGTTTATAAATAACAGAAATGTTAATAAAGGACAGAACAAAGAACATTCTTAAGTTTGCCAAGATCCAATTAGCAGCAGTCTCTTGAACTAACCAAAACGAGAGACCGAAACAATACAAATAAAGAATAATAAAGTAATCAGAGGACAGGACAGAGAAGCAAAATAAAATATTCAGAAACGGTACCCTCTGTTGTCTTCCTTGTTAAGAATCTCCATGAGATTGTCCACGCCATTGTAGCGCACGCCGGTGACGATGCCGTCCGGGTTGGACAGCGTCAGCTCAAAGATGCCATTTTTTATCTCGACCTGTGCGTGCAATTTGCACCCGGCTCAGAATATCCCCATCCACGTGGCAGAACGGCGCGGGTGAGACGTCAACCCCACAAGAAGGAAAATGCGGGCAGAGATGGGGACTACTCACATATCTGTCGCTGACCTTGACCGTGACGCCGGCGGTGGCATCGACGGCGGGGCCGGCCAGCGAGGCCGCCCGCGGAGGGCCCATGCAGCAGGCACAGAGACTGCTGCAGCTTGCGACCAGACAGATAAATGCGTACGGCACGACCGCACGAGAGATGAGGCATGTGAGTGTGTGTGTGTGTATATATAGAGAGAAACTGGCTGAGAAATCTAGGAGCAGTAATGGCGGCATTGCCCAAGCACATGGATGCGATTGGCAACAGGAGCAGGAGTAGTACCTAAGCTTCCCCATGGATGATGGGCGAAGCAAGTCCTTTAGTTTTCCACTGCCTGTTGCTGGGTGCAGTTGGGATGGGCGTACGTGGAGGCGGGCACTTAGAGGGGCGGCGGTTATGTTATCTGTTATCCCTTGGTTTGGAAAGCAAGCATGCGAGGAGTGGAGTTGAAGCCAAGGAGGAGGAGATGGAGCAAGAGCGAGGAGGAGGAGGGCGGCAATGGCGGCGTCCTCCGGGCTCCGGCCCTCGCTCGTCCGCGTCTTTAATTCTTGGTGGTTGGTCGGCTCTCGGCACACCTGCGAGAGTGTTTTCTGTCAGCTGCAGGAATGGCGAAGGAAGATGGAAGTGGCTGCACCGAAAGCCGTTCTAAATGATGCCTTCAAGGTGCCTTGTTTCATCTGTGACTGTGAGTACCTAAAGTTCGGCTGATCAAAGTGTCAGCAATGACCTGTAGCTATTTGAATGAGTTCATCCCAAAGAAAAGGAACTTCTGAATGAGTGCTGGATTTTGAGGATATCCGAATTGAATCCATCTTCGTAAAAGTTTGGTTTAAGCAGGAAACGACGAATCTTTTCTTTCCTTTTTTCTCTTTCTGATGGATAGATAGATTTGGCAATGATTGTTGAGCCCGCTGCGAGGGGTTGTTGGAATTCTTGATTAAAGTAGTACCAGTAGCCTAGTAGGTGCCTTGCAAACATCATTCTTCAGCAATGACTGGCAATCGAGGTTGTCACTATTATGCCGTACCTAATCAGAATAATATCACGTACTAATCGGAACAAGCTGCAACCAGCAAGAACTAAACTAGATCTTATTCAGAAAACTAAATCAGACAAATGCACAAGAAATATTTCAGCTAAATGCATAAGAAATCAGACTAGATCACAGGTAGCAATACTAGTTTCAGCAGTACTAATTTCTCCATCTAAATCAGAAACTATTTCTTATGATCACAGGAAGAAACTATTTCTCCATCTCTATTTATTTGTGCTCAGTTGTACAACCATAAACATTAGTGTATTAGTAGCAATATACAGTACAGTCATCAAGCGACCTTCATCGCTTACCTCAGGCAGAGCAAAAGATGATACTTATTATCCATTTAAATGACAAGAATCATTCACGCATTAGAGAAAATATGAATAGGAAGTAGTATTTCCTTGTTGAGCTATTTCAACAATTATTTCTGAAATGATTGAGACTTATTTTTTCCCCCTTAGTACTTAATTATATCAATAACCAGCACTTTGATTATTAGATGGCATAAAAAACTTACACAAGAGCATTAAACTTTCCAGCATATGGAATCACCTAAAACTAGTAATCGAAGAGAGGTAACAATGTAAAGCAGACAGGTAATAGAGGAAGGCTTCATATATTTGTTAGATCTTCAGGTTAAACAAATTGTAGTAAGCCTCTGCTTCAAACTTCCAGATAATTATTGGACTGTGTTCCTCACACCTAGTGGGGCGGGGAGCAATGGTACAGATTTCTTCAAAATTTATTCAAACTAAAAAATCAATAGAAACTGTAGGGGCTTAGGGGGCTCTTGCCAGATCCAAACTCACAAGTACACGCTAGGGCTAAGAACATCAGATAAGCAAAGAAAACACTACCAGGCCCTTTAATTTGAATGGGGAAAATAGATCTCAGTAGCTCACAAACAAGAATACGCAGTACAAGGATTGTGCTTGTACCTTGGATAGGGTCGGCGTTTCTTCCAAGCAGATGGAGTGCGCGGCGTTGCTTCCCGGCGGATGGAGAAGCGGCGTTGCTGGTACGAAGGGAATCGGGCGGTGAGCGGAGGGGCGCCGGTGTTTCTTCCGGGAGGATGGAGTGCGCGTCGCTACTAGTACGAAGGGAGTCGGGGCCGGAAGGAGATGGGGACGAGTGGCGCACGAGACTGGAAGTGGCGGCGCTCAAACCCTAGCCGCCATGCCTCTCCATCCTCTGCGAGTAAGAGGCAGTCGACGAAACGGCGAGCGAGGCGGAGACGCGACGGGAGATAGAAACATGACTTGAGAGATGATTTTTTATTCCCCCGCGGATCGACGGGGAACGGGCTGACAAGACACGAGTCTTTCTTAGCGCAAGGGGTATCCAAACGGCAACACGGAATGGAGGAGGGTGCCGCCATAGTTGGCCAACGGGCCGCCCTGGCCCGGCCCGGCCCGGCCAAGCATGGCCCGCAGGGGGTCGGGCCGACACGGCACACTGTGCCTCCCGTGCCGTGCCCCTCTAGGTCTCATGCCTGAGCCTTCGGCCCAAGCACGGTCCTACGGGCCAAAATACGTGCCGTGCCGGCCTAGTAAGCATGGCCAAATCCTCGGGCCGTGCTAGCCCACAGCCCGGTGCAATTAAAACACCTCAAACTACTTCTCTCATCCAACACTTCTCCATTTTCACAATCAAATTTCACAATTCATTCACATTTGAGTATTCATATTCACAAGTAATAAACTGATCACAGTCACAGATTCTCAATTTTAACAAAAGCTACCAAAGGAGACAAGAGAATTAAAATAACTGAGCTGTTTATACAATGTTGCCTCATTAAAAATCTTTCTAGGTAAAACTCACCCTTGTGAGAAACCCTAGAAAAGAAAAAAGAGTGCAACACAACTTTTAATAAGTCTTCCATCATTGTTCAAAGGTCCCAAGTCACACAGTCACAGTCACAGATGACAGATATAAAATGGAGATAACAGATTAACAGAGCACTCTCTCCTCTCTCTCAACACTAATTACCAGCAGCCCTAAATATACCAGCCCTAGATGAACTAGCCCCAGCCCCAGATGAACTAGTAGTACCAGCAGCCCCATCTGCATCTTCATCAACTGATTCTTGAAGGAGTCCTCTAGCTTTTGGTTGTCAACAGCATGTTGTAATCTACTTTCTCCCAACTCCCAATCCTTTATGCAGGCCAGCATCTCCATAGTTTCAGGCAAGAGGCGCGCCGCCGCTCTTCAATTATCCTTCCTGTCAAGCTGAAACATGATTCCGAAGAGACAGTAGAAATAGAAACAGACATAATATCTCTAGCCATTCTAGATAGGATTGGATAGGTTAGTTTATGGTCACACCACCAGAGAAGTAAATCAAAATCATCCTCATATGCAGTGACATTGTCACTGTCCAGATAAACTGAGAGCTCATTAGTAGTAGAAGCAGATGAAGATAAAATAGGGGCACAAGCAGGGGAAGGACCAACAATAGATCTAGGGCCTCTAAAGATTCTTTCTCGTGCCTATTTTCTCTTACCTGTATGGATTACAGGCTGTGCAACCCTTTGACTCCTAGTTGCACTAAACTTTCTCTTATATTTGTTAAAATAATTTATAAATTTTAGTTTTCACATCAGCATAATATGAAGTATAATCACAACCAGTGCTCTCTTTAAGTAATTTTATGACTCTAAACAAACCTCTCATCTTAGCTCTAAGATCAAGAATGAATGCAAATGAATATAACAGAGGTATATGCTATCAGTATTTAAGGAATTTAAGCTTCATAGGATATACAACAGCAATTAGATTTTTATCTTTTTCACTTGCAAGTAAATGAGAAGTAATTTCTAGTAGATGGTGCAGGATAAGTGGACTAGTTGGATAGTAAACATCAGAAAAAACAACAGTGGAGTCATAAAATAATTCTAGAAACTCCAATATCTTTTCAGCTATATACCAATGCCTTGCAGGCAACAATTCAGAGCCATAATTGAAATTAATGAACATAGAAAAAACATGCTTATATAGAACCAAGTATTTAAGCATAAGATATGTAGCATTCCATCTAACATCTATATCTAAGCTAAACTTTCTAGGTCTAACATCCTGAGCAGTACAATAGTTCTTAAACATAGCAATTCTTTGATTAGAGGAATTTAAGAAGTTAATAGCAGTTCTAAAATCTTCTGTGTAAGGTTTGAACCTCTTTAAACCAGATTTTATAATCAGATTAATGATATGACAAGCACAATATTGATGCACAAGATTGTACTTATGCTTAGAAGGATCAACAAGCTCAGGTGTAGTATCATGACCCAAATAACCAGCAAACATAGGTGTCAAAGTTTCCAAAGCCTTAGCATTAGAAGAAGCATTGTCTAGAGTTACAGAGAAAACCTTATCAATGAGACCAAACTCCTCAACCACACAAGCAACTCTTTCAGCAATATTTTCACCAGTATGTTTCACCTCAATCAACCTAAGCCTAATAACCTTTTTCTATAACTCCCAATTAGCACTAACAAAATGAGTAACAATAATAATATAATCCTCCTTAGCATTACCGAACAAAATGTCTGATGTCAGAGCAACAAAGGAAGTAGCAGACAACATAGAATTCTTAAGCATATTACGACGTTCAGTAAATAGTTTACTCAGATCTCTAGTGGTGGTCTGTCTAGATACTTTAACAAACCTAGGGTTATGAGCATGGACAATGTAATCCTCCCAGACCTCTGTCTCACCAATACCTAACGGCAAATCAAGCCTAGCAATCAAGCGACATAATTCAGATCTAGCAACATCAGGTTTATAGTCCCAGTTATGCACATAACCATCAGTATTGTAAGCAAGCCTAGACTGAACCCTAGAAGCTTGATCAGTTTTTTGCCTACAAGATTTCTGGTGTCTCTTCAAGTGCCCAGTGCTAGCATTAGATCTAGCAGACAAAGTATGCTTACACATTTTACAGGTAGCTTTAGTGTAGATTTTCCTACCATTCACAGTCTCATAGATCTCATCAAAATCAGCCCACATAGTAGATTTACGCTTACCAACACCAGGCCCAGAAGAGGTACCAGT